TTTTTGTTTTTTACTATACTAATTTTATTCTACTTGTTAATTACTTTTTAAAATTGATTTTATTAATTTATTCAATTTAAAACAGAAATGGCAAATAAAAACTTGTTAAGTAAAGTAAAAAGAGCCCAATAATACCTGTAAAGATCATCTTTTGGTAAGAATTATAATTTTAAAAATTTTTGTGTCAGAGTTTTATTCAATTAACAAAATCATTAATATCTTGGCGTACATGTATGCTAAACACATATATTTATATTCATATGAAAGCCCAGAATCTACTCTACCTGAACAAAAAAAGATTATTCAAATCGAATTACTAGATGTGAAGATATTAACGATCAAAGTCAAAGGTTAAAAATAAATCTATTGAACGTAATTATTCAGCAACTTGTGATCCAATTCATGTGATATTTGGTTTATGGATAGCTCTTGATTACCTCTTTCTAATGAATATATAATTCATTCGTCTAGCACACATACACGTTAAGTTATTCAACATTTTGTCATGACAATTATATTTAAATTTTTTAATTTTAAGGGACCGATCGCGACTCAATAGGTGAAATTTATTAATTACGATTTACGCAAATCTTTACCGAAAATTGCTAAAACTCCTATTTTACCGGATCGTCGTCTCATCATGTGATATAATATGCAAATTTTAAATACAGTAATTAATAATGTCGATCCTAACTAAGCCACTTGAAGAGTTTGAAGTCGCCAGAGTTCCACGTCTTCGATTTTACTATGGAAGAACGTAAGATTCCGAACATATATTTTAGGCTATTTCAAGCTTTAAATAAATTATTTATGAGCAATTTTAACCAAAATCGGTTAGTTTTAGATTTTTTTTTTGGGTTTAACCCTATATATAGTTTATTTAGGCATCGTTCCTTTATTTTATTTTTTTTTTAAAACATACTGAGCGGTGTTTAATCATAAACATTTACTTTCTACCAGTTTATTTATTATATTATAGTGCGTTATTTACCATATTTTCTGTAGCTT